GAGCTGTCTAGCGGTTGGGCTGAGTCCACAAGCCGCACCGAGAAGCAGTGTCGTCACATTTCAGGGACGCCTCCAACCATCTCCCTCCGGTTGATGAGCTGGTCGTCAGTGGACCACCGACTCGGCCCGGGGCCCCCTCCTGGCTCAGGTTCAGTGCGATGGGGCGCAAGTGCCTCGGACAGGGCGCCTCTACAGTAACTCTGAGCTCTCCCCCTCTGACTTGGTTCCAGTGCTAGGCAAAGGTAGGTAATGGTCAGCACAACAATTTCTCCCCCTCTGCTTTGGCATTTCTACTGTCCAAGTTTCTTTCTGGCCAACTATTTGGCCTCTGGGTCAAGTGCTAAAGATTTCACGGGAGTTGGCTTTATACAGTGAATGAGGTCTACACGCAGTGTTTGTGAGGAAAACGGCTTAGAGTCACCATCTTTTTGGAGAAGGGAACCTGGAGGTAAATATTTCTGTACCACAGATACCCACACGGCAAGATAGCGCTTTAGTATAAACCCATATTTTCGTATGTTGATTTCATATGAAGCGGAAGGCAGGTGTACCGGGAAAATGAAGTATGTAATTTTAAGGACATTTGTGGCTGGCTGCCACACCACGCCAAGACACCGACGGCTGAGTTTAGGCCATCTGTGAAAACAGTTGTTACGTATCATGTTGGTCACCGGTTACTTTGAGTTTCTTGCCTTTTCATTTTTTTTTTAATGTTTATTTTTGAGAGACGGAGCACGAGCGGGGGAGGGGCAGAGAGAGAGAGAGAGAGAGAGACCCAGAATCCAAAGCAGGTTCCAGGCTCCGAGCTGTCAGCCCAGAGCCCGACGCGGGGCTCGAACTCACGAACCGTGAGATCGTGACCTGAGCCCAAGTCGGACACTTAACCGACTGGGCCACTCAGGTGCCCCGAGCGTCTAGCCTTTTAACTAGTCATTTTGTCACTGTGTTGATACGACCCATGCGAAAGGTTTTTCTTCCCTAGGAATTCATAGCTCATTTGCGCTTACTCAGTTACAAGTGGCTATTTTTGGAGGAACTGATGTCACAGATGATTTTGTCTAATAGGGCAGAGCTAGCTTATCTCCCCAATCAACGGTTTCATCTTCCGGGCCGCTGAAGGCCTAATTGACGTTGGCCTTCCCAACTGCTCCCTCAGTGCCGAGAAGAGCTCTTCTCCTGTAGGCTGCGTCTACGCAGTGCACATTAAAATAAATATGCATCAGAACTCTATATATTCACCTTGAGCTTATGAGGAAAAGAACAGAGAAGAGAGGACTGCCTTTTAGTGAACAATGAACTGACTGGATCATACGCTGGACTTCTAAGAGGGAATGCATGAGTCAACTCTTAATGATTTCTAAAACTCTTAGGGCAAATTGGAGGCTTGATGATCACATACTACGAAGAAAGTAGGTGACAACTTTTCAGGTATGACGGGAAAGATTCACAGAACACCCACACTTGGCAGGAAGTAACCTGAAATGCTACGTGGATCTTTGAGGGGATTCAAACGGGAGAGTCACGTGTGCTCATGGACACTGTCACTAAAAGGGAAGTCTGGGCAGTGACATCTGGCTCTGTGTCTTCCGTGTTTTCTCTCCTGGTGTCAAATACACTACCTACGACACAGACAAGACAACGAAGTGGGGGGGCACTTCTCCAAAGAAGAGCTGCACAGTTTTCTGCGACAGGGCTAGAGGTGAGGGCGCCAGGTGGGGAGAGAACCTGGCCGAGGAAGCCTCGGTTCCTTTTTCTGTTTTTAATGTTTAGTCGCTTTTTGAGAGACAGAGACAGAGCGCGAGCAGGGGAGAGGCAGAGAGAGAGGGAGACACAGCATCCGAAGCAGGCTCCAGGCTCGGAGCGGTCAGCACAGAGCCCGACGCGGGGCTGGAACTCGGGAACCGTGAGATCGTGACCTGAGCCGAAGTCGGAGGCTTAACTGACTGGGCGCCACCCAGGCGCCCCAAGGAAGCCTCTGTTTCATATTTAAATCCCTAAGTTCTCAGCCAAGGCTTTAGTTGGTTGTGCTACGCGAGCCGTTTTAGAAATTTGTAATGATGACTTTTACAGGGAAGTCCGTGAATGTGTGTTACTACTGGAGTATGTCCACATATTGTCCAGGAAGAGACAATGGCTACACAAAATACAGTTTACCTGTAACAGAGATCATGATGCAGCTATTAAGGTAATGTGTATGAAGATGTGTGAAAAATGGAAAATGCTCGTTAGGTTTAAAAAAAAAAAAAAAAAAAAACACCCAGAAAAGAAAATTTTATCTACTTGATCTCCAACTGTGTAGATAAATAAATTTAGAGAAAAGTCTGGGGGAAAACACCCAGTAATGGTCGTCTCTGAGTGGTAAAGTTAATTTCTGTTTTCTTCCTCGTACTTTTGTTACTTCTTTGAAAGTATGTAAAAGACTGCCAATTCGTGACAAACACCGCTGGGCTCGGCCTGGGGGGTGGGGGGCTTGCTCTACCCTATTTCCAAATGAGAAGCCCTCTTTGTAAATTTTAGAAAGCACTGCTTCGATTTCACTTGCTCTTTACTGATTTTTTTTTTTTTCCCCAACACAAAGTGTTCGCCCGTCCCGGGTGCTTTCTCGCGGTTGCCAGAGTGCCCTCCAACACCCGGCCTGCCGCCCGGGACGGGGGGCTCCCCGAGGGCGGGCGTTTGTGCCCAGGACCCAACAGTGTGGGTTCCTGCGAGCTGCTCACACGCACTTACCGGCAGGGGCGTGAGGGCAAAGAAACGAAGAAACTACGTTTTTCCGCTGCAAAAGCCGTAGTCGCTCTTGTGGAAGCTAGACAGACGGAAGGCTGCTTGCCTGTAATGGATGGACGCGAATGTCCCTGGACTGCCTGACTGTCCCCCCTGACCTGCTCAATCCCGGTTCTTGCAAACGCTTAAGGATTTACGCCCCTCTCCCCGCCCCTCCCCAACACACGTGGGTTTGGGAAGAGGAAAAAGACCTTAAAAAGGTAATAAAGGCGTTGTTAGATCTTTAGAAACAGGACCGACCGCTGCCAGCTCAGATCGAGCAGATCAGGAAAGTCTGGCCGGGGAGTCTCACACGTGCAAGAAGGGTGGACTTCACCTCTGGGGCAGCCTCGTTAGGGCACACGCGAGGGAAGGGTCCGAAGTGGCGCTGTGTTCAAAGACGCTGCCCAGACCCGGGGTTTTACTTTAGGGCCCATCAAGACACGCTAGTCTCATCAATTGAGTTTAAACTGCAGGAGGATTTCGGGCAGACTTAACGACGGACATTCTAACGGTGGAGACAGACACTGGAATGGAATCCTAAAGGGATTAGTACATCCATCAGCTCTTAGGATCTTTAAGAAACATGCGGAGAAAAGCTGGCTTTGGCTTAGGTATGAGAAAGCTTTGCGGTGTAATGGCTGGAAGTCGAGAGGCCTGGGCTCCGGCCCAGCCACCAACCAGCTGTGAGACCTTGAGAAAGTCATTTAGTGTTTCTGGGCCTCAGGCTTTTTTACCTGTAAAATAAAAGGACTGGATAAAAAGAAGGGATGGGACTAGATGATCTCTAACGTTCCTTCTTTCTCAGATTCCTTGACATTCTTTTCAGTTCCATGAGGTGGTTCTACCATCCCGTGTTCAATTTCCTCATCTGAAACATCTCTCTGCCTCCATCTTCGGACAGGAAAATGCAAAGGTATTATTTCAAGGGGAATGGTTTTCAAGTGATTATAGTAGTATTTTCAATAACAGCAAAAGTCCAGGGTGTCAGAAGGCAGTGAGGACGGGGGGCCCAAATGCCCCGGGGCCAGTGGGGCTGGGGCAGCCAGGGGAGGAAGTCTGCCTCCCGAAATGCACAATTTCGTTACTGGTAGTAATATTTCCTGCATCTGCTGGGAGGGGGCCAGGTGTGATAAGAACAAGGCTAACCCGAGTTGTCCTGACAGACGAGGACACGATGGGAAGGAACAATAGAGATCATGCATTTCAATTATCTTAATTCATAAATGTGGGAACAGAGCCCAACAAGGAGATGGCCGTATATGGGAAGAACTTGATATAAGCAGGTCCTTTTTGCACCAGGCGGCTCATTTCATTTGTTTGTCCATCGATCTGTTGCTTAGCTACGCGGTGACCGAGAAGGTTCTGCATCGTTCGCACGGTTGAGCTTTCTCATCGTTCTGAGGCTTGCTCACCCGTGTCTGTCCTACCTGCGAGCTCTGCTTTCCTTGCCATCCCGGGACAAGTGCCATCAAGGAACAGGTGACCTAGCCGAGTTCCTACACAGACTGGCTACTGTACTGAGATTTGCCGAATTTTATTTAAAACTTGCCACCCCAAATCTGGAATTGAGCATTTTCACTTAGAGGGTTTTTTGGGGGTGTCTGGGTTTGGTGGGCAGAGAATCTCCAGGTGGTCTCGTGAAGGCAGTCAATAAAGAGCCCCCACAACTACTGAGGGAATAAATCATCATCTGGCAAACTGATCAGATCCCGTCTCTTGGGCTCTCGGGGAGGAACCAACGCAGAGGCAGGAGGCCAGGGTCACAAAGGATACGAACCTGGAATTATGTCTATGGCTTACCATGTTCTATGGCTGATCTGGTTCGGGTTCTAGGAATGTGCACCCGTGCTAGACGGACTGGCTGCTTCAGTCACTCGCTTAAAACACCCGTATTCGTCAGGTGCCCGTTATAAGAAGAGCAATGACTGACTGCCTCTCAAAACGCTTTTGGGGTGGGGGCAGTGGACGGGGACAGAACGGACATGAATTTCACCACAGAACTGGTGATCCTTGTTCTAAAAAGAAATCATTTCCTGTTAAAGTACTTTCAACGGCGGCAGGTTTGGGGAGGCACATGTTGTGACACCAAGGTCTTAGGGCTTGCTGTTCTGAGGTTTTTGAGACTAGGAGACAGGGCGTGAGGCAAAAGGAGCTTTTCATACTCAATGTAAAAATATCTCTGAGCACAAGGCACTGAGAAGCTCTGATTCCTAGGGCCGGGGCCAGGAGCAGTCTGCTCAAGCCTCTGCACCTCTGACGTTACGCACATTTTCAATGCCAGTGTTTTCAGGGGCTGTATTTTCCAGCGGGTGTTGGAAATGGAAATGTGTTTTACCTGTTGGCGGTAGAGAGATGCCGTCCAGTCTCTCATCGCCGTCCGCCGCCTCTGCTGGTGGCAAACAGAAAACACAAATCTCGTCAGTTTCGGGGAGCGCGTTGATTTTACGGAATACAGTAATACAATTTAAAAATTCCAGTATGCATACGCTCAACTTTCTTTCCCCTTTTCGGCGTCTGTTGGTTCGCGTTACAGATTTTAGTACCATTATTTAAATCAAACATTTTTTTAAGATAATGATAGGAGGTTTGCTCCTGCATTTTTTTTTTTTGCTATCTTGTGACCTTATTCTATCAATCATTGACGATTTCAGTTCATTTTCACTTGTTTGCATGGACTTAAAATCTTCGCTCAGAATCCGGGGTGAATTGTTCAAATATGATCATCAAAGGCACAGAGGTCAGTGAACCGCTGTGGCAGAATTTTTCCCCGGTCATCCCCAGAACCACCCTAACCATCCCCGCGAGCCAGGCTCAGGAAATCCTGAGAATCAGCCCTTCTTCGGAGATGACTGGAAATTGGCATCAATTTAGTCATAGAGAAAGTCAGAAGGAGTAAGTGTATCTTCAAAAGCTTTGTCACGTCTCCGTTTCAAAATGCAAACCTTTGCTCACGTCTGCTGTGTTTTAATCTCCTTAAGGGTTTTCCAAAGGCAGATCCTCAGTCAGAGAAAACCTTCCGCTACATGTAAAAAAGAAAGTGCTCGTTTGTCTTCTGATAACCGATGGGGCCCATCAGTCTCTCTGGGCAGATGCTGTGGACAGGTCAGAACATTTCGTTATGGCCAAGTGGAGAATTTCGGCGACTGCTCCCTCCATCCCGGGGCTGGCTTCCTCTCCCGGCCACCTTCCCGCCGCGGCACACGCGCGCGTGGGGCCAGCCACGTGGGGCTGCCCTGTGCCACCGGGCTGTAATGCTGAGTTGGTGGGAAGCGAATACCATGCCCCTGTTTTTTTCCAACGTTTATTTATTTTTGGGACAGAGAGAGACAGAGCATGAACGGGGGAGGGGCAGAGAGAGAGGGAGACACAGAATCGGAAACAGGCTCCAGGCTCTGAGCCATCAGCCCAGAGCCTGACGCGGGGCTCGAACTCACGGACCGCGAGATCGTGACCTGACTGAAGTCGGACGCTTAACCGACTGCGCCACCGAGGTGCCCCACCATGCCCCTGTTTTTATCGCTGTGGCTTTGAACACAATCAGGGGGTCAGAGACGTTCAAAGATTTCGACTCCAGTTCGTTCTCTAACACCTTGTCCTCAGATTGCTGCACACCATTGTCTGCTGACCTGCTACGTCCACCGCAAAGAAAATGCCCAGCGGAGACACCACAGTCGAGACCAGCTTGGGCTGGAGAAGCTTCCCATCTAAAATGATGTTGTAGGTGAATATTTAATAACGTAAGACATTCGACTCAAGCGCTAGGACAGATGGAAAAGATTAAACACTTTAAAATAGGCTTATCGATGAAGTACAGGACATACTAAAATGTTAACAGCGTTCCTCTCTGGATGAGTTGTCTAGGATTTTAAAAAGTCTTCAGTAATAATAACAGCAACGACTGCCACCACCGTTTATTAGATGTTTACCGTTTACTGAGCAATTTACGTACATCGCGTCATTTAACTCTTAGAAAACCCTACAAAGGGGTGGGAGGGGGGTTGTTTTTATGCCCATTTGAGCAAACGGAACTGGGACAGAGAGAGGCTAAGAGGCTAAGGTAATCTGGAGCGCCTGGCTGGCTTGGTGGGGCGTGCAACTCTGCTTCTCGGGGTTGTGGGTTCGAGCCCCACGCTGGGTATAGAGCTTATGAAAAACAATAAATAAACTTAAAAAAAAAAAGAGAGAGAGAGAGAGACTAAGGGAATACAGCCATTGAGTGACGCCGTCCCGGCTGTGAGTCAGATCCATGCCTGGGCTCTTAATCTCCCTCTTTGCTGTTAATAATCCAAATGTACGTCCCTATGCATCCCTATGAGCTTTTTTTTTTTTTTTAAATCTTCAACTTCTAGTTCATTTTCTACTTCAGTAACTTTCTCTACTTTACACGTAAAATGACTTTCTATGTAGTTATAACAAAGCCCTTCCCTTTGTAACTCCGTTATCCCCACTTTCATAACCCAGGCCTATGCAATTCTGGGCTTTAGCAAAAACAGAACATATGCATCCGAAAAACAGACAAATTATTATATGTAAATTAGTGTATGTTAGCTGCACGCACGGGGCCAAGTGTCACGGATGAAGAACGTGGCTGTGTTACTGAAATTTAATTATAACATCTGTCTGTAACCACAAGCTCACGGTCTTTCTTCCCCGGTGACAGTCAAGTTGTGAAATTTAGAAAAGATTGAGCAAGTCCAATAAAAATTTAATAGCAGTGACAGTTTTACTCTTAGATCTAACACAAATAAAAAATTGTGATTTCAGCTCTGAGGAAATAATGTAATGAAAATGATAAAAATCCACACCGGGAAAGGAATCATTCCAGTTACAGAAAAAAATTATTACATGTGATGGGAGCCCCAAATGAATTTCTCTTTGGGTTTGCACAACAACCTCTCAAATCTGTATGGAGCACTTCTTCCTAGAGGCAGTTTGGGCTTCCTCGAGCACTGAGTTGATTAGCTTGCCCAGTTAGCTTGTCCCTAATTCCAGGAATTGAGCCAAATATGATAAATAAGGTTGAAGCTGTGGGAACATCTATGAGACACTGTTTGTTGTTATCGTTTGGACTGAGTAATCAAGACAAAAACACGAGAGGGAGCAACGTCATTGATGTCGGCCTCTCCGTTCCTATCAGCCTCAGGAAGGAAAGGCGAGTGGCTCTAGTCTCAATCTGCAAGGGTCCCACTTTGAAGCCGCTTGAGGAGACTTTAGTGTAATAGAATTTGACAAAATCAGGCAATAGAGCCTATGTGGCCGGTCACTGCTGATAGGCTGACATCTGGTCTACCTGGGTCTGTACTTCAGGGCTATTTTTGTCCTCTGGCCACCTCCACCTTCTCAGATGCACAAGGAACCTACCGAAAAGGCAGAGGAGAAGTGCCAAGGCACCAGTCACAAATATCTAGGCAGATCAGTGGTCAGACGTGAAAATGTCCCGAATCGAATACGATGATGACCAAAGACCAGGGCGCTCCCGCAGGAAGGGAAGGGTCTACGGTTGGGATCCCGCTGGGCACAGACAGGCACGTGTGTGTGAGATGTGTGTGTCATGTGAATTACTAATATAAATGCTGGATGGTTAAGAAATGTGTTCAGTGGCCAGTCTGTGGGAAAGAGAACCAGGAATGTGGAGGGACGTCCCCACTGTGTGCACATGTGTTCACTGGGGGGAAGCATGGAAGGGAATGGATTCCAGAGCTCACAGTAATTGGTCTCTGCATCTAGCAGTAGGAAAAACAAAAAAAGGTGTGGTTATGTATAAAAGATAGAGTATGAGGAAACACAGTTGTTTTTAATTTATCAAACACAAATTTATATCAGGATTAACTTTTTTTCCAACCAGCTTTTATACATGGATCTTTCCCTCTCTTTGTTAAAAAATGAATGGTATAGGGGCACCTGGGTGGCTCAGTCCGTTAAGAATCCAACTCCTGACTTTGGCTCAGGTCACGACCTCATGGTTCATGAGTTCAAGCCTCGTATCGGGCTCTCTGCTGTCAGCACAGAGCCCGCTTCAGATCCTCTGTCCCCCTCTCTCTGCCCTCCCTTGCTTGTTCTCTCGTTCTCTCTCTCTCAAAATAAACTTCAAAAAAAAAAAAAAAAAGTATGGTATAGAAACTATACGTCAAAGAGGTTTCCAGAATACCTCACAAAGAGGAAACAAAATTTAAGCCAAACTTCCCATTTTAGTCATGTGGCCCATTTCCAGCGTTAAAAACAATTCAACTGGGTAAATGTGAAGATCGAGTTAGCTTTACCAAGTGATTCATGAATCAGGCAGCGTCCCCTCCGGCAGGCAGAAGGGAGCTCCAGCAGACTGAAAGGTTTTAGAAGATGGGACAAGTCATCAAGAGAAAACACGATTATTTCGGGTAAGGCCACCTTCCTCTGGGACAAACAGAAGATTCCTCAATGACCAGTTCAAACTACATTTCTGGAGGAGGTTGAAAGTGCAGTCTGGTGATGTGACCTAGCACAAGAGACTCCATTTTGGGCCGCTGGTTTTCCTTTTAACACCAGGAAGGCTGTTTCTGTGTGTCTGAGACCAGCCTTCCACGGTGCACTCCATATATACTCAGTATTCTCTCTACTTTTCATGTTTTCTCCCTTCAGAGGTTTCTCTTCAAACCTAGACTTTTCAGGTCCCCTAGGGACTTGTAATCATCTCCTCAGCGAGAGGCACATGTTCTGGAGCCCAAAGCCCTCTTCCTTTCTCGGAGCTGACCCTGCGGTACCTGAACCAGTAGAGTCCGTACTCTGGATTTGTACACTTCTTTTCCCTGAAGCTCCCAAGTTGTTCCAGGCATGTTTCACATTCCACCCTGTGGAGCAGGCCGACACCAGGCAGCTTCTGTGGACCCTAGGCAGGGGTGCAGGAATATGCGAGCCGACCTCCGGCTACAAGTTTGCGGCATCACTGGGACCGGTGTGTGGAAGAACCCAAAGGAAGTCGAGTGGCTGGTTCTTGGGGTACTTTGGCCCTTTTCCTCTCTTTTGGGCTCACGGAGTATTAAATTCAGGTCTCATCACTATGGCAAATTTTTGATTTCTTTCAGGCCTGCCTATTTAGCGTCTTTGTGTCTTGGGCTTCAACCATTTCCCCTGGCAAATCAACAGGTAAACAAAGTTCTTCCGTACCCAAACAGGCAAGATCGCCAAGGCAGATTTTAGGCAACACAAGACCAACTTAATACTTACTAGCAAAGACACCATTCAGGCTTAACAAATGACATTTGATTTGGGATATAAAACTGAGGAGAACACGGCACCCAACATGGCATCAGGGCTCAGTAAGGGGTTAGTTGCTGTGTATCTACTGGGCAGTTATCTTTGTAACACCTGTCATTCAACTGTAAAACAAGGCTTTCACCCCCCAACCCTTTCCTGGAGACTGAAGTCTAAGGAGGCTTACATAATAAAAGGGGGCCTTTGTAAGGCAAGTAAGGCTGAGGCAGCAGACACCTGGAATAGGAAGGGAGGAGGGACCCTCTAGCAGGAAGTTACTCTTCCTACATGTTATTCAGTTAATCTACCCTGAGTGAGGCCAGGCCGCCATGACACACGGCTCTGAACCTTTGGGAGAAGAAGGGGGAAGAGAGGAAAGTGGGAGGGGACTAAGGAGGTGGGGTGTGCACAAGGAAATGAGAAAGCGGGCTTGAGAAGGGGGAAGGAAGGGACGCCAAGGACTAAGGGACACCATGTAAGTGGTCACAGGCATCCCCAGGAGTCCTAGGGACCATGTCCCTGGGGACAGAGCTTGGGGATGTTGCCACCCTGTGGAATAAATATTTGAATATTTGAATATCAGGTAAGGTACATATAGAATATTATCCAGGATCTCATGCAACCAGATTGAGCTAAACGATAAGACCTTTTTGTTGTGGATTATCGTCTCTTCTTTTTCATCGACTGATTCGTTGGCTCATTCAACAAACACTCGTGTGTGTCTGCAATGTGCCACATGCTGTTCTAGACATTTGGGTTAGAAACACGACCCCGATGCAGACTCTGCTCCTGAGGGTCTGGTGGTCACTGGAGGAGCCCGGAGTGTCACCCTGGCAGAAGACCAAAGCGCTGGGGCCACCAATGAAGGCTCCAGGAGGAAGTCGCCTTTAAGATCTGTGACAAGAGGAGGTGCTGTTTTCTGGACAGAGGGAAAGCATGAGTGTGAGAGCCCAGCATTTCTCAGAGTAAGGAGGCGCTGGTGAGGCAGGCAGGCACAGGCCTCTGGCAAGAGAAGTGGGGGAGGAGGGTGGGGCTAGCCTGTCAAGGACCCCGCATGCTGTGCTGGAGGGGTGTGTAGAAGGGGTTGTGTTTGGGGAAGACAGGAAGCTAGAAGTGTCTAATCAGGGTTGGGGCACGAAACAGATGTAATTCTCAAAGAATGAAGTCTAGGGTCTTGGGACATGGCCACATCTAGAGCTGCACACTGGTGAGTCAGCGATGGTGGGACAGTTCAAGTCCCGGATGAGGCTTTAGAATGAGAACAGCACCAGGAATGGAAAGCGAACCACGTGGTTTAGACCGTGGATTAGACCGAAGGAGGAGGAGGCCGTGGATTAGACGGAAGGCAGTGCGGGAGAACCGGGAGGAGAGGCAAAGACAGGGAAACCCCGGAACCCAAGGGAAGAGACTTTAAGAAGGATGAGATCCGACGGAGTCAAAATCAACATGCAGGTCAAACAGAGTGTTGGTGTAACAGAAGGGGAATCTGATCTCCGTGGTGACTGCAGGAAGAGCGTCTGTAGAGGTGCGGGGCCAGAGGACAAAATGCAATGGGTTCTAAACAGGTCGGGGAAGCCAACTCAGGGAATGCAAACCCTTTGGGAGGAAATTTGACCAACACCTTCCGGAGAAAGAGACGGTAGCGGTTTTAAGAAATGGCAGGGATAGGGGCTCCTGGGTGGCTCAGTTGGTTAAGACACTGACCCTTGATTTCGGCTCAGGTCATGATCTCACGGTTTGTGGGGTCGAGCCCCACATCAGGGCCTGAGCTGACAGCAAGGAGCCTGCCTGGGATTCTCTGTCTGCCTCTCTCTCTCTACCCCTCCCACACACGTGCTGTCTCTTAAATAAATAAACATTTAAAACATATTTTAAAAAAAGAAATGGTAGGGTTGAAGGAATAGTTCTGCTTTGTTTTGGGAGGCAGAGGGAAGGAGGGGAGGGCATGAACACTTTTTGAGCATTCCGCGTCAGCTCTATATTAGTGGCAAAACTTACATTGTCTGATTCTGACACTGAAAACACCCAAGAGGGTAGGTATTAGCTTTGTTATATATATGGAAAGCCTGAGGCTCAGAGAAGGTCCCAGGAATTTGTAAATGGCAGACGGGAGCTGGGAATTCAGACCTATTCTCCCCAGTGTACCTCGCTGCATTTATTTGTGATGATTTGTAGATTACAAAAAAGAAGGCAGAGAAACGGAGAGAGCTGGGGGAAGGGTGAGGGGATGATTTATCACCCAAGCCCCAAAACCTCTGTGGGTGAAGAGGGCATCAGTAGCAGTTACGCTGGGACAACAGGAGCAGAGGGGGGCCCCCGCCGGGCACAGAGGGGGTGCTCAGACCTCTGACCTGGGACACAGGGAGGCTCCCAGTGCCGCCGAGCACCAATACAGACGTTTTCAGAGGGCACGCTCGTTTTGTTTATGAAGACATTCCTGTATGACAGATCTGGAACCTCATGACAACTGTGAAGCAGACTTTATTTTTCTGTCTGCGTCGTGAGAGAGACACAGAGGACTGGATGGGTGGAGTGACTTGCCTGAGGTCCAGGGCTGGTAAAGAGCAGAGAGACCGCAGAGCCAGGTCTCTGGACTCCGCTTCACCTTGCTGCCCGCAGGCTACCCAATACGTTTCCACCAATGACAAGAAGCAGTAGTCCACTGCTCTTTATAAAGAGCATCAATTAGTACAAAAGGAAGCAAACGGTTAAAAAAAAAAAAAAAAAGAGGAAGGGAAGATTTTAATTAAAAAAAAAAATCCTCTACAGCTAAGTATGTGAAGTCCTGATGGCTACTTTACAGAAGCGAGCTGTAAGGTTTTTCACAGTGAAGATGCACTTGGTCCCTTGGGGCCAAGTCTTGCAGCCTCTAGGGCGCTCCCAGCCTGTGCCAGGAGCTCTCCCCTGGGGTGCTCGCTGACTCAGGCCGCTCACTGCTCTAGTACACTGTGAATTCACATAAAGGATCTGGTAGAGACACAGGCCCACGCATCTGTGCTGCTGTTCTCCGGGCCTCTGTACCAGCCAGATGTATGACAGTCCCTGTCTGGAGCCCGTCTCCGAAACTGGGCGTTCTCCAGCTACAGAAACACGGAGGCTCTTAGCAGGCCGGGTGTCCTGAGGTTTGATCAGAATTGTCTGCTGCATTTATTTTTTATTCCGAGACAAGTATTTTGAGACGGGAGTGGGGGAGTGCAGAGAGAGGCAGAGAGAGAATCTCAAGCCGACTCCACACTCGAACTCACGAACTGTGATAATGACCTGAGCCAAAATCAAGAGTCAGACGCTTAACGGACTGAGCCACCCAGGTGCCCCTGATTGCTTATTTTAAAAATAGTATCTAGAGGTTTGTGGCCTCCTAGAGATGATTATTCTTACATGATGGCAAAAAACTGGCCTCAAGGGGATTCTTCACTGGTACATTGGCTGTCATTTGAGGCCTCAAATGACCAAATCCAAATAGTCATAATTCAACTAAAACAATCTCAGAATCCCCAAAGCCAGATTTGAAAAATACATTCTTGACTTAATCTGTTTCATGTGGTGTTTCTGATAGGAGGGTTATTGTTATTTTTGTTACCTTAAGCAACTGGTATTTTTTATGAAAGTCATGCAGATCCAAACAAACAAAAGTCAATAGCAAACAGAAGAAAGTCACACAAGAGAGACCCAGTTTCACAGATAAGACACATAAAGCCACAAAATAAGATTAGCCATCTTCTTCGTTTATACTGTTAAAATTAAATGGTCTGACAGAATTTTTACTATTTAATCTTCAGGTGAATTTCCAAATTCATTTGCCTAAGACTTTAAAATAGAAACCACAGCACATTAGGTAGAGCTTTTCCTTCAAAAGACAAAAAGACAGTGAAAATACCCTAGAGCAAAGAATTGTATTTTACAACGTCCAAGATTTCAATTGAGGGCTTTGGCAATTATTTTCTCACGGCTTATTCATACCTGAGCCTCTTTTTAACCTTCTTCTGGCCAGTTTAATTTGATCCTGTAGAATCTGTACCCAGTCTCTCGGGCCAGGAAGTTTATCCACATGATTAGCGGTACAGTATTTTTCTGTGAAGACTGAAAGAAAATGTGAAATAGTGTTAAATACTTCAGCAAATAAAAAAAACATGCAGATCTGAAATGGGAATATATCCCAAGAATAAAAAAAAAAAAAAAAAAAGGGCGTATTTCTAGAAGACGTCAGTTCCGTAGTGCGTGGCTTCAATCCCCACATTACATTCCTTTGGTGAAGACGGAGGTTGGCAGGGGCCCTGCTCATATACAGCGAACTGTGCTTCGGAACGAAACCGCCTATAAAATAGAAGCAGTTCTTTGCTACTGCTCTTTCCACTTGCGTATATGTGTCTTATGGGCAGAGAAGAAAACGCTTCCTATGGGTCCACTGGCCCCATGAAAAAATTCAGCAAATGTATTATTACTGTTGTTAAATCTAATCTCATGCAAGATTACACAGAAAGATGGTGTTCTCGTGGTGATTCCTACTAAATCAGTACTCAACAATAATGCAGTTGTGTCTTCTTAAGTTTATTTATTTTGAGACAGAGAGAGAGAGGGAGAATCCCAAGCAGGTGCAGAGCCCAGCACGGGGCTTGAACTCACAGTGAGATCATGACCTGAGCCCAAACCAGGAGTCGGGAGTTTAACTGACTGAGCCACCCAGACGCCCCTGTGCAGTGTGTCTTAATGAAAGTCCCCATTTGTACTTTGAGTCAGCCTCTTGCGTGCTGTGCCAGCACCTAGGAGAGCTACCTGGTAAGCAGAGGGAACTATGGAGAGAATCGTGTGACAGGACGAGAGGGAGACAGGACAATGGCTTTATGAAAGCTACACCGTGTGTGGCTGCCCATCTCAGAGCTGCTGTGGACCTTTCTGACTCCCTCTACCCCCGAGCGCCTTCACACCCCATCTTTGCTACCTGCTCTCTGTAAGGACAAGACCTACACTCACGTTGCCTTCTTGGTTTTTTTTTTTTTTTTTTT